TGACCAGGGAGCAGCATGAGGAGCACCTTAGATAGCTTCTGGGAGTTTTGAGGCGGGAACGGTTATATGTCAAGTTCTCGAAGTGTGAGTTTTTGTAACGCCACATTCCTGGTATGTAATTTAAATATTGAATTTCCTTTTCTTAAGGATTACTTGATGAGTCAGTAGCCCCGACTCGTCGAGTAGAAGCGGGATTACACGTGGACTTAGTGGGCGACTCGACGAGTCCATTACCGACTCGGCGAGTCTGCCAGCTTGGATGAAACCCTAATTCTTAGGGTTTGGACCCTATTTAAACGTCATTATAACCCCCATCCCAGCCTCCAACACCTCTAGAGCGTTCCCCCTCAAAACCCTAGCCCTCCCTTGGTGAGTTTGAGTGTTTCCATCCTATTTTGAGTAATTTTGTGCTTTCTTGAAGTGGTAGAGAAGAAGGAAAGAGAGAAGGTTCAAAGGAGAAGAAGTAGATCCAGAAGCTAGCCCTCTTTTGCTACACTTTCTTGTAATCAAGCTTAAAACTTGACTTATAGTTCTATAGATATTCTTTTTGTCATTTTATGGAGTTTTGGGTCCAACTAGCTTAATCCTTGAGACCTGGTCGTCCCAAGTCGATTCACCTTCAGATCTAGGTTCTGGAATTGAGTTCATGGCATGAGAATGCAAGCTTTATGGCCATGATAGCCCATGCACCCCTTTAGACCTCATTTTTGGGTCCTTTAAGCATATACTCCCATGCATACACGTAAAGCTCATAACTTTACGTGCTAGATCAGTCGTAGAAGCCCAGATCTACCTTTTGGATAAGGGTTGTACGTCAGAAAGCGAGATATAAGGCATGAACAATATCGACTCGACGAATTGTTCTTGAGACTCGGCGAGTCCAGTGTTTGAGTCCCCTTTCTGTTGTGGTTCAAAGGAACCTCAGTCGAGTGTTAGCAAGGTTCGGACAAGTCCAGAGGAGCGTTTCGATGTATTAAGATATGGCCATAATCTAGGAATCATGGGACTCGACGAGTGCAAGAACACACTCGGCGAGTCCAAGGCAATCTCCTTACCCGCAAGAACAGACTCGACGAGTTGTTCATACAACTCGGCAAGTCGTAGGCTGGACATGGTCATATGATGAAGGAGGACTCGACGAGTTGTTCATACAACTCGGCGAGTCAGATGAAGGATGACTCAATGTTATTACAGAAGGAGAACTCATCGAGTCTTTGCTAAACTCGACGAGTAGAGTCGGGTTGAGGAATAGAAGAAAGGATAGGGACTCGGCGAGTTGGTGGCCCAACTCGGCGAGTCAAAAACTCGACGAGTCAGATGAAGGACGACTCAATGTTATTACAGAAGGAGAACTCGTCGAGTCTTTGCTAAACTCGACGAGTAGAGTCGGGTTGAGGAATAGAAGAAAGGATAGGGACTCGGCGAGTTGGTGGCCCAACTCGGCGAGCCAGGTCAACTGGAAGTTGACTTTGGCCAGGGATAAAATAGTCATTTTACCCTAAGAATAGTTATTAGTGTCTTGACTAAGTGTCTTTATGGGAATTGTAGCCGGGGAGTTACCGGAGCATCAGTCAGACATTTCCCGCTCAGTACTTCAACAGTCAGCTTTCCGAGGTGAGTTCTCCTTTAGTAGGAACGGGTCTACGACACCAAGGCCGGCCATAAGTATGTCATGATAGTAGCTGAGTGTGGGCGGGGCCCGTATCCTATCCTAGCAGAGTGTGGGCGAGGCCCGTATCTCATAGTAGTAGTTGATTATGATGTGTGGGCAGTAGATTAGCTTTACATGTTGTCTGTGTGATACTTGTATGTTGGGTTTAGTAGTTGAGTGTGGGCGAGGCCCGTACCTCATCATAGCCGAGTGTGGGCGAGGCCCGTATCTCGAAGTAGCTGAGCATGGGCGAGGCCCGTACCTCAGAGACAGTGGAGTGTGGGCGAGGCCCGTATCTCCTAGACAGTGGAGTGTGGGCGAGGCCCATATCTCCTAGATAGCGGGGTGTGGGCTGGGCTCGTATCTCCCAGTTAGCGGAGCGTGGGCGAGGCCCGTATCTCCACGAGTGTGGGCGAGGCCCGTATCTCCTAATTGCATGCTATGTGTAGATGGTATGTGGTAGATTGGGGAGACTCACTAAGCTTCGTGCTTACGGTTTTCAGTTTTGGTTTCAGGTACTTCCACTAGCACTGGGAAGGGCTCGGGATGATCGCATGGCACACACCACAGTCTTCAGCCTGTGAGTTAGACTCTGATATTTGGATATGAGATTTTGATTTGAGACAGATACTATGATGTTTATGATACATGATTATGATTTCACTTATGATTTTGGATGGCTGGTGGTTTTAATAATGTTTGAAAACGAAATTTTCAGACTGTGTTTTTGGGATGTTACAGTTTTGGTTACGGGAGGTCCAGTTCTTAGGACTCCTCGTTAACCAGAAAGGGATTCTGGTCGACAATGCCAATATTAATCATTTAAATCACATTAGTAGTTTGATTATTTAAATCCTTCCAAGGTAATATTTTGTTTAATAAGGGTTAAATAATTTTATAAAAGTCAAGCTCCATAAACACATAATTTTATAATAGTCACAAAATGTGTTTTTTTATAAAATCATGGGTTGACATTTGATTTTCTAAAATTGTCTTCATCTTCGTCTTGTTACATTTTTATAAAAATAAACTACTTCTAATACTAATAATTACTTACAAAAATAAACAAAATGAAAACTATATATTTAATTATTACATACCATATAAATAAATAAACTATTACAAGCATGTTAAACAAATCAACACATGCAACAACATAAATGTTCATGGCTGGTTTATTTGTGTGTGTGTATGAATGTATATATATATATATATATATATATATATATATATATATATATATATATATATACACACACACACACGCACACACACTCAAAATTATATAAAACAACTCTTTGTTTTTCTAAGACAATTTTTATAACTAAAAGATGCATGTAAACTTTTAGTCATAAAAATAACAATTATAAATATTTTAAAGTTGTCATAAAAATTTTGTATGAATTTTCTTACAAAAAGAAAACCATTCATGTTTTCAAAAAACAAGGATAATACCAACTTATCAAATAATCTAACTAAGTATGTAAAAACGGCTTTGATACTAATTGTTGGGTTTTTTATTCAAAAATAGTCTAATTTTAGTGACAAAATTGACGTAATTAACAACAAAAACATTTTATAATTTGAAGAAACTAAAACCATTTTAACCGCAATGGTAATTTTTCAAGACTTAGAAAGATTAAAACATAAGTAAAGAAAAGAAGAAGTTTACAACCTTCAAAAACTTTTGTTCCTTTGACAATTAGGATGTTGATGAAGATGACATTAAAACTCCAAGAAGAAGTCCTCTATAATGTATCTACCAAAGCAAGAATACAACCACTTCAAGATACTAGTCTTTACTTGTATATATGTTGTTCTTAAGCTTTAAGACATATATCAAAATATGCTTAAAGAGAAACAACATATTACCCTTTAATTTTAACACATTTTGCAAGAAAAAAAGGAGAAGGATGGTGGGAGAGAAAGCCACAAATTGGCAGCCCAAAAATGAATGAATAACTCTTCGAAAAAACTAGTTTAATTCACACTCATGCCTTTCTTTTATGTCCCTTTTTAATACAAAAGAAAGAGATAAAATAATAGAAAGCATGAGGTTTTCTTACATGCATGGGTTAGGCATTAAACAAAGCAAAAAACATTCTTCTTCCATCATGAAAGAACCCACGGTTCTACATAGCTACGAAACAAAATGGAAGTGCTTTTTACTTAACCCATAACTAGCTAGTTGGAAACAAACTTAACTGTTACTCAAAGTGACAAAAAATATTATACACAACATCAATAATCATACTATATGATATTAAGCTAATTTTTGTTCACTTTTATTATTATTTCATGGAAATAATAATTCTCAATATGTTGGTAAAATATTATTTTCATAAAATAATATTTTTTTTAATTAAATATAAGTGTTGATAATATTTATTAGTTATCAAATTATACTAATAAATAATCAATTGGTAGTAACTTGTTATAAAGTATGATCCTATATGATCATATGTCATTAACAATATCATTATATAATGACCCTTGGACATATAAGATTTTTAACATATATATTTTAACGAAATATATTTGTTATCATTTTAACTATATAATTATATTGCTACACAATGTACTCCGCCTGGTATAACATAGATTCAATATTTATTATCTATAAGGATAAACCATCATATCACTAGCTAATTCATTGATTATCCGATATTTATATAATAACTTAATCCACACCCATTTATGATGTCTTAATTAATTGAAGGTATTGTAACACTTGATATAACTTAAACAAATGTAATTCTTATTTGTAATCTTATGATTTCAATATATATTCTGATATTATATACTTCGTTGATTTAGTTGGTTCCCTAAGAAATGACATAGACACAAGTTAAATCATACAACACCAGTTAAATGATACGAAATGAAAATATGATGTTCAGTTCTTTTCAAGAACGTTAACATATAATATGTTGTACAAGTTTGAGGATTATAAATAAAAAAAGCAAAAATGTTATCTTGAAAGTAAAAAGGGGCACACGATTTAAAAGAAATAAATATAACATCAACTCAATATTTATGAACTATAGGATAAACCATCACATCACCAAATAATTCATTGATTTTCAGATTTTTATCGAATTTACTTTAACAACTACCATTTATGATTTGTCTTAATTAATTGCAGGTATTGTAGCAATTGATATAACTTAAACAAATGTAATTCTTATTTGTAATCTTATGATTTTATTTTACTTTTTGCTATAATATTATACACTTGCTTATTTTTTGAAATGTGAATTCAGTTTTAGTTTTCGGCTACGGGTTGGGTTGAAACGTTGAAATTAGCGACCCACCCGTTAAAACTGAAATGAATAGTATCCACGACCCGATCCTATCATCTGTTTTTGCTTTCTCTATCCCTCGCTCACCTCTCCCAACACCACAAGCTTTTCCTCTCACCGACGTGGCACTTCGCCGTTCGCTCCTCCGCCGATCACTCCTCCTTATCCCCATTCCTCCCTCTCCCTCTGCTGCTTTGTCAAACCACCGGTCACCGGCGAAACATTATTCTTTACACATATATATGATCAATGACCATTTCTCAACCTCACGCTCTCCCTAGTGTTTGTTGCCCCCGTTCTGTTTCCCTAACGAAGTAAGTATTCTCTTTATTTCATTTACATAACTATCTCTTTGATCTCAAGCTATGCGCAGCTATGTCGCTTTATAATTGCTTCATTTCCTTTTCTAATTCCGTTGATTAGCAATTAGTTTAGTGGGAATTCGACACAATCAAACTGCTTAAGCTTGAATTGTGAATATTATAAGTCGCACTCGTTTGATCATGGAAATGTTTCCGAGGTAGTTTTTTGTTTGATAAGGGTTAAGTAAAGGTTGCTAGCTAGTAGCTATGGCGGATTATTGAAGCCTCACTTAATCCTTAATCCATTAATTCGAGCACTGAAATACCTTTCATCCATGGAGCCTGTTGCTAATTATTCTTACTGAATTGTCGGAATTCAATCTCTGAGGTAACATAGTTAATGAAACAGATACAGTTAGCAGAAGTAAGAAAACATAATTTAAAGCCAAAACACAAGCCTTTTTCAATTATGGCTATTTGCTTATGTGATGCAGATATCTGAATCCATGGATTTCATGTAAACATTCCACATGTTTATTTCACAAGAAGGTAGCATCTGTGGACTACTTACTATCCACTAAGGTTTATTCAAGGAAGAGATACCAGATAAACCTATGTTTATTAGAAGATGGAACTCTTGGTCTTAGTTCCAGATCATTAAACCCCCAATTATCCTATTTCACCCATTACAAATCAAGAAGAACAAGACAATTTTTCCCATTTGCTTCTGCTGATGATGGTGTAACAGTTAATGGAGCAAGTACTAGTGGTGATGTTGAGGAAATGAGGGTTAAACTTGACCAGTCATTGCAAAATGAAGAATATAATAGTGCACTTATTCAATCATTGCATGATGCGGCAAGGGTATATGAATTAGCCATTAAAGATCAGATCTCTGCATCCAAATCATCATGGTTTTCAACAGCTTGGCTTGGTATAGACCAAAATGCTTGGGTGAAAGCCTTATCTTATCAGGTTTGTTTTCATTCTCAACATTCTTGTCATATATGTACCTCATATTCTTGCTAGACACATAATTAATTATATATACAATTTATAATGATTTCAGGCCTCAGTGTATTCGTTACTTTTAGCAGCATGTGAGATTTCATCTCGTGGTGATAGAAGAGATCGTGATATCAATGTTTTTGTTCAGAGGAGGTATGATTTTTGACTTTTTGAGTAGGATTTTCTGTTAATTCATTAAATTTCTCCTGTCAGTTCGCATGATGAAATAAAAGATACAATTTTTAGGCCAAATTACAGAAAAACCGTTATATTTTGAGCATTTTGTGGTTTAACTACTAATATTTTATTATTTCCAATCAAACCTTAGACATTTTTCCATATCAGTAATTTTGACCTGTTATATCAGACCATTAAAGTTTGGGGAATTTTATAGTTTAACCACTAAGACTTTTTTTTTTTTTTTTTTTTTTTTTTCCAATCGAACCCTAAAAGTGTCAGACATTTTCCCAAAGTAACTATTTTGACCTGTTAGTCTCAGATTTCAACAGTAATTTTGTTATACTTATACACTTCAAAGTCTTTTGTTTTTATTGTTTTTAATCACTACTTCCAATCTTTACATATTATAAAAAGACAACATACAATTACAAAATTCTTATTTATTATTTTATTTAACCATAACTTTTATGCAGTCTCTCAAGATATTATGCTCCTTTAGAAAGTGTAATACGCGATGCACTCTCAGACAAACAACCAGAACTTTATGAATGGTTTTTATCCCAACAAATGCCATCTGTCGTTTCCAGTTTTGTCAATTATTTTGAAAAAGACCAAAGATTTTCAGCTGCTACAGGCGTGTAAGTACTTCAAAAAAAAAAAAAAAAATCATATATGAGTTTTTACTTTTACTTTTACATGAAAATAACTTGTTCCTTTTTCCAGGGTAAGAAAAGGAACATCTGTAACTTCAGGGGATGCAAGTGACAGGTCTTTGCTTCTTTTTGCATTGAGTTGCATAGCAGCAATAACAAAACTCGGCCCCACAAAAGTTTCTTGCACACAGTTTTACTCTATTCTCCCTGAGATAACTGGTAGACTGATGGATATGTTGGTTGAGTTTGTTCCTATACACAAAGCTTATGGCTCTATAAAAGAGATTGGATTAAAAAGAGAGTTTTTAGTCCATTTTGGACCTCGAGCTGCAGCTTGTAGAGTGAAAGATGATCAAGGAACTGAAGAAGTTTTATTTTGGGTAAGTCTTGTACAGAGGCATCTACAACGCGCTATTGATAGAGAGAGAATATGGTCAAGATTGACCACATGTGAAAGTATTGAGGTAAAATCTAAAATCTAAAATCTAAAATATTTTTCTGTGAAATTTGAAGTTTTGATAAGGGTGAGTGTGAATAATCCTGTGTGTGCAGGTGTTGGATAAGGATTTGGCTATTTTTGGATTCTTCATTGCTTTAGGAAGGAGGACTCAGTTGTACTTATCTGCAAATAACTTTGAAGCAGCTCCGAAACCAATTGAAGGATTGATCAGGTAAAGTTTTCAAAAATTGAATATATTTATATACCATACCCTCCAAGTAACAACTTAATGCAACTACAACCCTCCGAATTAATCAACACTAAGTTACATGAATATATGGTTATTTTCTCTCTTCAAATCAGGTATCTTATTGGTGGAAGTGTGCTATATTATCCTCAGCTTTCATCAATAAGCTCTTATCAACTGTATGTGGAGGTTAGCAAGATATTTAGATTAATATATGATATACAAATATACAATAATACAAAATTAAATTTACAATAAATCTGAAAATCACCACTGTTTTGTAGGTTGTATGTGAAGAATTGGATTGGCTTCCATTTTATCCAGGTGACATTGACACTCAAAAAGGCTCACATGGCCATAAAACTAAACAAGGTCCTCCAAATGAGGAAGCTATCCCTGTTGTTTTAGATGTTTGTTCACACTGGATTCAGAGTTTTATTAAATATAGTAAATGGCTTGAGAACCCTTCTAATGTCAAAGCTGCAAGGTTTCTTTCTAGAGGGTAATGCTATATTGCTATTGCTATTGCCATATGTTCTTTTCTTTTTATAAATTTTAAATAATTCGGATCGTAATGAGGTGATCCAAGTTGTATTTTATTTATTTATTTATTTCAGGCACAACATTTTACAAGACTCTATGGAAGAACTAGGCATACCTAAGTAAGTAAACTTGTATACAGAATTAAATTTTTGTTGAGATTTGTTTGGCTAATGTGAAAGGAGAAACTTGTTAGTTGTGACACTTTGGCAGAGTGTAAAAAGGTGGAGTTGGCTTCATCCTATGAAAAGAGTCCCAAGGCTTTAGAGAGTGAGTGTAATTTGGGGTGGCTTGAGAGATTAGTCCATGTGATTGTAGTCATTTGTCAGACAGTGTAATTTTCTCTCTCGAGGCCCGTGGTTTTTCTCCGGTTTTGAAGTTCTCAACATGTTTCCCTTCGTTTGGATTTCTTTATTATTTTCTATTGGGTGGATTGTTGGGGATCTTTGAGGCCATTTTACCAACATTTCTATGTGACGATTGTTAAATCATATTACCTTTTCCTCTATAAAAACCAATCTCCTTTGAATTTTTTTTCCTTCTGTTAAAAGTAAAACCAAACATTTATAAAATATGAAATGTAAATATGGAGTTCTCAATGTGTTTCCCTGCGCTTAGATTTCTTTATTATTTTTCGTTCGTTGTGTGGGTTATTGGGGATCTTTGAGGCCATTTTACCCACATTTCTATGTGATGATTGTTACATCATATTACTTTTTCCTCTGTGAAAATCCATCTCCATTGAATTTATTTTTCTTTCTGTATAATCCAAACATTTATAAAATATGAAATGTTAATGCAGGAAGCGTATGATCGAAAGCAGCACGAATAATACTTTTGAGATCACACGTTCAGGAGGTTATTCTCCATTGAAAAAACAACTAGATTCCTTCGACAAGGTATATCTTCATTTTCACTAAATCAAGTTAACATTTTCATTTTCTTTTCAATATTTTTATTTTTTATTTTTTTAGGCATTAGAGAGTGTTGATGATGCCCTTATAAAGCTTGAGGGGCTGCTTCAAGAGTTACACGTATCCAGCTCCAGTTCTGGAAAGGAGCATCTAAAAGCTGCTTGTTCTGATCTTGAAAAGATTAGGAAACTTAAAAAAGAGGCTGAATTTCTTGAGGCGTCATTTAGAGCAAAAGCAGATTCCCTTCAGCAGGTATATATCTCTATATATTTAAAAAATAACAACTTACTTTTATAATAATAATAATAATATTTCTTACTATATATGCAAAATTTTCTATATCTGATTTCTGCATTTTGTTTGTATATAGGGAAATGATGATGGTCGTGCTGAGAGGCAATCTGGTTCTAATGTAGACCTGGATATGTCCAGCAGGTATTGTCATTCACCAAATCTTTCTCAGCACATAAAATAAAGGGGCATTTTGGTCATATAATGTTTTTGGAAGGAATAAAATCTATCAAAAGGAATTGGAATATTAAGGAATTTGTAATATGTTTGGTTGGCAAAAAATGGAAGGAAATTTGATAATAAAAATTGTATAATCACTAATATGTATTAATAAGGGTATTTTGGTCATTTAACCAAAAAAGGCTAAATGGTACTAGCTCCCATCCACCCATAGGACTAGTGAAATCCGTGAAACACGGATCTTGAAGGGATCTGACGGAATTGAATTCCATCCGATGGGTAACCAAACACGCCATGGAATGGAATCTCGAATTCCAATTCCTTTGATTACCACTGGAATCCATGAACCAATTTGTTCATATTAACCTTAACCTTCACACACCTCATTTGTTCAATTTTTATTTTTATAGTAAACCTGATGTCTTATGGAGCTTGCTGCTACGTCGTCCAACCCCAACCACAGAAACTTCCTACAAAAATGTACGCCTCATAATTCCATTTTTTATAATCTATTTTTATTTATATTTTATATACAAATCAATCATTTTTTCTACAGGATGATGATGATGATGACACAAGTCTACTTGAATCAAATGAAATCCAACGTTTCGAATTATTAAGAAACGAACTCATGGAACTCGAAATGCGAGTTGAAAGAAGCACTAAACGCTCTGAAAACGAAGAGGTTCTCTTCTCTTCTCTTCTCTTCTCTTATAATCTAAAATCATTTTCATATTTTATTTATAATTACTTATATATTATCTACAGGAGGATCTTAAAATGACTAATTATCCTAAAGATCCTGAAGGGGTTCAACTAGTGAAAGCACAGGAGAAAGAGAATATAATCGGAAGGTCCATAAACAAGTTGAAAGGAAGCACCACAGTAATAATAATAATAATAATAATAATAATAATTCATTAACTACTTTCCTCCGCACTCAAATGACAATATTACCCTCGGTGACTCATCATATTATGTTTTTATAAACAGGATGTATTGCAGGGTACCCAACTTTTAGCCATTGATGTTGCTGCAGCTACAGGGTTGCTTAGAAGGGTGCTTATAGGAGATGAATTAACTGATAAAGAGAAACAAGCTCTTAGAAGAACTTTGACTGATTTAGCAGCTGTAATTCCAATTGGCTTTCTCATGCTACTACCTGTAAGTTATTTATTTATTTATTTTTTTTATATCCTGTGTTTTGCCTATTAATTTAATTTTATAATGTTATTTATATAGGTGACTGCAGTTGGGCATGCAGCAATGTTGGCTGCTATTCAAAGATACGTACCATCGATGGTGAGTAATGTTTATATGAATAAGGAGAGATGAATTTTTATTAATTTACGTTTTTGGTCCCTGATTTTGTTCAAAAGTTTCAGTTTTGGTCCTTGATAGTTATCTTTTGCTATTTTGGTGCTTGTTGTAACAATTTTACAACAATTGAAAATGCTAGGCAACAAAATTGCAAGAGAAAATTATTTGGGATCAAAACTGAAATTTTTGAACAAACTTAAGGACGAAAAATGTAATTTTTTTCTCTTTTTGTGAAGATTCCATCGACGTATGGACAAGATAGGCTGGATCTTTTAAGGCAGCTTGAGAAGGTGAAGGAAATGGAAACAATGGAGGGGAACCCTACAGAAGAGAAATTATAGAAAAAAGTTCTAACAAATCATATACACGTGATTAAATTCAAAAAGGAAGAGTTAAGTTTTTATAGCTTTAGTTTCATGAGTTGTACTTCATGCAATGAAGGTTGTATGCTCCACTTCCTGTGCTTTTAAAAAAGAACAAGTTTGAAAATATGCTTTAGAAAGGTTCTCTATTATATCAATGTTTTATTGGTCTGAATTTCAGACTCTGAAATACAAACATTTTTTGGTTTTTGAAAGTTAAAAATATGGCTAATGCTCATATTGTGTTTTTATTTAGGTTATGTTTGGCCGACTAGCTAAAAAATTAGTTGATAGTTCAAAATCTAGTTGCTAGTAAATAAACTAATTAATAAAAATGATGATCGGTAAAACTAATTAATAAACAATATGTAAGATGGTATGTAGAAGATTTTTTTTTAAATTAATAAAAGGATATATTTGAAAGAATTAGAAAAAAAAACTCATAAGCTTGTAGAAACGTTAGTTTGAGTAATCTGTAAGAAATCTAGCTTTTTGGTTTGATAAAACATGACAATTTAAAAGCCTTAGTCGAGAGCAACCATTGAATATTGGAAAGTTGTCTTTTTGTGTTATGTCAAATAAAAACAAAATATATGATTATAAAGAACACTTGTGAATTATATCATGATAATAAAACTTCGATTTTTCGAACCTATTATACTGTTTTTAATATAAATTGGTGTATGAAAGAATGTTGTTTGGGGAGAACTTAACACCAATTTGATATAAAAAAATGAGTTTTGATGTTGGGTTGGAGATACAAAATGAGTTTTGATGTTAGGTCGGAGATACTCTTGCAGCTTGGTTCATGACAATGATGGAATCTAGATGAATTTTATATGAAATTCTTAGTGTTTGATAGTTCTTTGGATTTCATAGAATTTTGTATTCCTTTGTAAAGGTTGGTCTATACGTGTGTTTGGTACAGGGCGTTTGAGAGCTTCCAACTTTTAACTTTTGACAAAACGCTCTAGTTTAAACAAAAAACTTCGTTTGACAGTATAAACGTTTAACTTTTAGTTTAAACAAAATGCTCCAAATCTAAAAGCTACTTCATGTAGCGTTTAACAAAATGCTACTGAGCTTTTTAAACTAATTTTTAGAATTGTCCTTAAAAATATATTTATGTATAATTGTCTTTTAATGTAAGTTTAAATGTTTCAAACGCTTCTAGCTACTTTTGTTAACCATTCATATTAGAAATAAAAACAACTACTAGTTATCCGTTACCAGTTTTTGCCAAATACGCTCTATTTAACCGTTACTTCATTTGAGCAAATTGCCTTTCTTTTTCATTCATTCATTCTTTTTTTATTTTTGAAACTTTACTTTCTTTCTATCCTCTTTTGGTAACAATTAAACAATGGAGTGTTTCGTTATATTGTATTCATTCTTTATATATATAAAAATGATGGAAATAGAACAAAGGTAATGTACCTTAAAAGAAAAGATAAATGTGAAACATTAAATTTGAGGCAGTGTAAAGCTTTACGAGTGCATAATTGGGTTGAAATGACAAGTAGTCAGGTACTATGCTTTGTTATACGTACATATGAGAAAGGAAGCTGTACTACGTTTATTACGACTATAGAATCAAATTAAACATAGCAGCTGCAAATTACATCTCCACCACACATCTCACCCTATCATGGGGCCTTCCTGCTACAATTTTTCACCCACATTTTCAGAGGTTCAGGTTTTTATCTGTCATTTAATTAATTTTTAATTTAAAACACATATACTAAAAATTAGAGAAATTTAAAAAAATGATCATTTCATGACCTGAGCAGTCCTGAGAAGGCCTTCTGCGGACTCATGTTGTAACAAGTGATATGAATGAATCTATAATCTTAACATCTGTAGTTGTAAAAACGCTTGTTTATCGTAAATACCACCATTGTAGTTATCAAAACCCACGAATCAAAGAAACCACTAAAAACAATTGTATCCCTTGTAATTAATCACTGCCCTATCTAACTAATTCAATTAAAAACCGATGATGAATGTGAGATCCCTTATTTTTCAGAACCAATTAAAACATTTTTCTTTACGCTTTATAAATTGAGACGTGGAATTTTCCAGTTAAATAAAACATTTTTTTAAGACAACGAAAGTTAGTTTATTAAAACCTTGAGGATGTCATTCGTTGATATCCAAACATACATTACAATGTAAAATATAAAAGGTCATGAAACTACATATCACATGCACATCTCTTTATTCCACTCAACATCCTAACTAGACTACATCAGCCTTGATTCCACTACATGTGATGCATAAAAATGAGTGAGTCAGGTTTGGGAAAACGTGGTGAGATACGTAATGTTGAAAATAATGAATGTTTTAAATACAAACAAATATTTATTATTGTTCTTAATAATAAAACAAAGGGTTTATTATGATAAATATAATTGTGTGAGGATGTAAAAGGAATTTTGCAGGTTAAACACGCGGATCTTTTGTGGATCAAGTAAAACCCGGATCCTTGTTAGATGTGATATAAAGCTAGAGAGAGATTGTAAAGATCATTCATTCAGTTGTTTTCCATATCAAATTGATTAGGGTTTTGCTTTTGTCTCTCTCGTTCTTTCATCGATTGTAATCAACGTTTCTGTTCTACTTTGTATATGCATCTGTTAGATGTGTTGTAGGATAGATATAGTTTAGGGTGAGTGACAATCTTGAGAGTAGATTAGGTTTTGTTGTAGTGAGTTTTATGTTGTAAGTATCGTGAAAACCTTCTGTTTCTTAATCCTAAAATGATATAAGAAATGAAGATGTTGGGAATGTTTGATTTGTCTATTTTTATCATGGTATCAGAGCTGTAAGGCTTGTGATTCTCGTTCCTGACGTTTTGATCGACGTTTGGTGTTCTTTCTTCGTGGATCTGTGAAAGGTATTCTTCTTGGTCTTTTAGGGTTTCTTTTTTACTTTTGCGATTGAATCTGTGAAGGTTTAGGGTACTCTATTCTTTCAGGATCTTTTTTGAAATTGATCCTGTTCTTTTTAAGATCCTGGTACTGCGAGTTTTTGGTTTGATCTTGCAGATTGGTGAGCTCGGTTGTTGACTGAGGTGTGGTTGATGTGTTAATCGGCTAAAACTCAGAAGATTAATCGATTAATCCCTCTAATCTGAAATAACTCTCTTGGGGTCGGATTTCATCACCGATAAACCCTTGAAGGGAACGGATTCAGGGAGTCGATTTCAACAAACATCTTTGCCTATTGCGCTATGAGGGTCCCTTGTTCCTTTCTTTCCTTCTTTTCTAGTTGTAGATGTGGGAGATCCTGGTTGTCTTGAGTACACCAGTTATTTTTTGTTATTATCTGATTGTTTTGTTATTCTTGACTCTGTGTTGATTGTCTTGGGCCCCGACATACTGTGGTGACCATCTGGACTTTAAGTCAACACAATTGTCTGTTGTTGTTCTCTCTGTTTGTGTGTTACATTTTTTTGTGACTCAGTATGTCTGGTGGAACTCCTGAAAGTAGTAGTATTCCTAAAGATAGTCCTGTTGACTTTGATGACCCTTTATATGTTCAGCCATCTGATAATGCTGTAACGTCCATTATAACTATTAAACTTACTGGAAATGAGAACTATCGTCTGTGGCGTAGTGCTATGACAAGAGGATTAAAAGCTAGAAATAAACTAGGGTTTGTAGATGGCACTCTTACTCTTGAAAAGACTGAATCATCTAAAGTTTCCAAATGGGTAAGTGTTAATGCTGTTGTGTGTAATTGGATCTTAGGATCAATATTTGAAACTATATATGCTAGTCATGTGTATTCTGATAAAGCTGAGGATATCTGGAATGAGCTTTTTGAAACTTATAATAAAGCTGATGGTTCTGTAATCTTTAATATTCATCAGCAAATTAATACTTTAAAACAAAATGGCTCCTCTCTATCAGATTATTATAATAAACTTGATTCTTTATGGAAAGAATTTGATGGTTTAACTAGCTTAACTGAATGTGTGTGTGAGGCTGCTACAAAGCTTAATGATCACTCTAAACTCATAAAATTAATGCAATTTCTTAGTGGTCTTGATGATGTTTATAATCAAGTCAAGAGTCATATCCTTTTGATGGAACCTTTACCAAATGTCAAGTCTGCTTTTTCTATTCTTTCTAGAGAAGAATCTCTTTAAAAGAATGGTTCTCTTGGATCCTCTAGTTCTTTGAAATCACAAGTTTCAGTTTTTAATAGTAAGGTCAATGATTTTAAAAAGGCACAGGGTCAGGTTAGATCTAGAAATCAGGGACTACAATGTAAAAATTGTGGTCTTAAAGGTCATTCTATTGATAGATGTTATAAGTTGATAGGATATCCAAAGGATTTAAACCCAGAAATGAGAGTAATAGTCAAAATAAGACATTTTCTGTGAATTCTTCTTCTGCTGGGTCTAAAAGCAGCATCACTAATGTACCTTCTGAGTGTGCTCATAATGGTGATGCCCATTACCTCACTAGTGAACATTACAACAAATTCCTTCGTCTACTTAATGAGAACTCTGCTAGTGAAGATGTTACTGCTACTGCTAATATGGCAGGTATATCTATGTTTCAGTGTTGTAATTCTTTTGTTAGTTCTGATAACTCTCAAAGTTGGATAGTAGATTCAGGGGCAAATCAACATATGATATCCTTTGAGTCTCAACTTAAAGATACAATGGATGTATCTGGTCTTAATCTTCTTGTGAAGCATCCAAATGGATCTTCTGCTCCTATAAACAAAATAGGAAACCTCCAGCTGTCTTCACATCTCACTTTATTTGATATCTTTGCTGTTCCTGATTTTAGTGTTAATCTTTTGTCTGTACATAAGCTATGTAAAGATAGTGGTTGTGAGATTGTTTTTTTCTGAACATAATTGCAAAATTCAGGATTCACTATCAAAGGAGATGGTGGATAATGGTAGAGAATCTGGGGGGCTGTATTACCTTGATTGTATCCCTTCAGGTAATTCGACTATTACAAATAAGACTAAGTGTTATGTGTATAAACTTACTTGGCACAGTAGACTTGGTCATCCAGCTGATCAAGCCTTGAGTTCTTTAAAAGAAAAATTAAAACTTAGTAATGAGGCTCTTCCACCTTGTGATGTTTGTCATAAGGCAAAACAAACAAGAGAATCCTTTCCGCATAGTCAACATCAATCAACCAGACTT